TTTGTCATACGGGGTGTTCAAAATTTAAGCATTAAAAAGTAAAACTTAGTCCGCCCCTGGTAAACAAAAAAAGCAAAACATGTTTCAATGACACTATTTTAAGAGGTCCTTACCAGGGTCCATCATAAAATGTTATTATTATTAATTTTTATTAAATTATATTTAGTACTTTAAAAGTTATTCAAGGAAAACCAATTTGCAGGGGAGTCCTTTCGGGGCCCATGTCTCCGTAAGGATGGCCAGTAGGAAAAAAATTTATAGGAACGTGTCATCTTATTTTTTCATGTTCTATCTGAATCCGAGAGATTTCCCACGTTTTCCCGGACACCCTGTATATATTATATAATATACATATTATACACAGTTTCAAAAGTTATGCATCACCTGAAATTTCTATTATTATGATAAATTGTACCAAACTACTTTTATTGATCAATTATACAATGAAAATTATTCAAGTGGCACATACTATTTTTAATGGAACAAAAGTTGTTTTTTTTAATAAAAAAAAAATAAGAAAATGCATATTTTATTTATCATTAAAATTAATTTGAACAGTTTTAATACAGCGTATTTCCAACATGGGCGTCAATGCAAGCCTGCATTCGAGCTCTGATACTGCTAACAAGGCGATCGCCTTGTTAGCAGTATCGATCAATTGCTTCCTGTGGCAGATTCTCCCATTCTTCTCTTGCGGCAACTGCTAGTTCCTGATGGGTTCTGGGAGGATATCTTCGAACTTGAACAGCTCTGGGGAGCATGTCCCAGGCATGTTCAATTGGGTTCATGTCTGGCGACATCGCAGGCCACTCCAAACGACGAATTTCTTATGTATCAAGATAGTCATTAATTGCTTGAATCCTATGTGGGCGGGCATTGTCATCCATATAGGTACATAAAATCTTCACCCACATCTCCTCGCCATAGTCTTACATGAGGTTCTAAAACCTGTGTGATGTACCTTTGTCCTGTCATAGTCCCGTCAATGAGCACCAATTCCGTACGATCACCTGCCATAATACCTGCCCAAAACATAACACTGCCACCAGCGAAAGGAAGTCTGGGGCGGGCATGCGCTAATTGTTGCCTCTCCGTTTTTCGCCCGTATACGATTGTATATGATAATATACAAGTATATATAAGTGTTGTAATGGAAACTGAGCAAAGAGTTGCATTAAAGCCTTTAATTTAAAGGTTTAAACATGTTGGTGGCGTGTATAATTTACAATGAAGGTAGACTTTATATAATTTGAAGTTCCAATTATATCATCAAAGAACTTTGTATATCATCATCCACCCAGGGGCGGATCCAGATAAAGATTTCGGGGGGGACAAAATATAGTTTTATTAAATCACTACTACGAATATTTTAGTTTTATTTTACTTTGGAATTGAGAAAAATATATTTATTTTAATGAAGATTTAAATATAAAAACATGTTTTTCAATTTTTACTTGCTAAACAAATTTTTTATTTTCATTAAATAACTTTTTATTAAAGTAACAATTATTTGTTTACCATAATATTTAAATATTCCACTTCAAAGTGCTGATGTTATTCATTTATGATACACCAGTAATTTATTCTAAATTACTGATAGTTCTTATCTCTACTACTTGGATTGTTGTTATACAACAGCCAATTTTTGGATTCGTAATGGTCTGCTCACACAACTTTGCTCAACAAAAATTAATTTCTAATTCAACCAACTAGTTTACTTGGTTAATTACTTTAATTAACTTTTACTAAATTAAGACTTTCAATTATTATTATTTTTGAGATATCAATTATAAAATATCCCAGTAAGCATCAATCGGCCAATGCTTGTCATAGACGATTGACCGGCCCGCTTATGGCCCGCGTTATGTTATGAATTTTTAAAAGAATCTAAAATTAAATTAAAATTCACAGATGTCATATATATATGATAATTAGACGTCGTCGTCAGATATATATATATATATCTGACGACGACGTCTAATTATCATCTTTTAGATGAAACTGTGTTGCTTGGGAAGTTACCATTTTATTATAAAATCCCGCCATATATTATCGGCGAAGCCACAAATTTTGAATTTTAAATTGCAAAAATTAAAAGCTTTATTAGAAACGTAACCGCCTATTATATATAATAGGCGGTTACTAATAAAGCTTTTAATTTTTGCAATTTAAAATTCAAAATTTGTGGCTTCGCCGATAATATATGGCGGGATTTTATAATAAAATGGTAACTTAAGTTATTATAAAAACAGAATTCTGTTTATAATACACATAGTTTCAAAACTTATGCATCACCCCTCGTATTCTCGTGGTATAAATTTTTATAAATCGGTTTGTTGATCACATGTTTTGTAACTCTTTTTCATGTAAAAGTAAACATTATTTTTTTTTTAAAAATTTGTATTCCTATTTAGTTGTGTTGTTTTCACTTTGGTGTCAATTACACAAAAATGTATTCCCAATAAAATTTAAAAAAACTTGATTAATAACACCGGCCGACATGATTTTCCTTGTCCAAGATATAATTAATTTTTTCCACTAATTTTGTAGTGCTGATTAAGAAATCAGACTTAATTTTATCGTATCACATCAGATTTTTAGTAAAATTAATATATTCGCTATTTTTGATTTTTCAGTAAAAATAAATTAAATTTTTGAAATTTGGCGCTCTTCCCTTGAATTAATCAAACTCTCGAGAGAAAATATACCAGTCTGTGGTTGGAACAGCACACGCCCATTCGAAACGCGTTACATGGAAATAAGCCGTTATAGTTACTTTGTTTACAAACTTTTTACTGAAATTAGTGTTTATTTAAAAAAATTGTTTACGTTTTACTTTTGGTATTTAATATATTTAATTAATGATTTGTGGTTGAAAAACGTATAAGAAACATAATGTCTTCAAGAAAGTGTCATAATAGTCCAGAAACATTTTGTTACATTTGTGGAAACTTTATGACTTCAAAGCAAAAACTGAAAATTACTGAGTTTGTGGAAAATACGTATAATGCTTATTTTGGCTTCAAAATAGAACTAAAATCGTGGACTCCGCAGTTAGTTTGTACTATTTGTGTTGAACAGTTAAGGCAGTGGACATACCGCAAAAGATAATCTCTAGCTTTTGGTAGACCTAGAGAGCAAGTCAATCATATTGATGATTGTTATTTTTGCTGTACCAATGTGAAAGGTTTTAATGCTAAAAATAAAAAGATAGCCTACGCAAATGTAACCTCAGTTACACGTCCCATTCCACACGGTCCAGAAATTCCAGTGCCCCTTCCAAGTTCAATATCTGATCTCAGCTAAACATCGTCAGAAGAAAATTTACAGCGTCAAGAATCAAATGAAGTTTTTGAACCAATTTTAAATCAGCTACTGATATTCACACAAGGTGAATTAAATGATTTAATTAGAGATTTAAATATTTCTAAAGAATCTGCTCAACTTCTTGGGTCTAGACTTCATGCAAAACACCTGTTAGCTCCTAATACACATTTTGCTTGGTATAGGAAGCGTGAAAAAGCATTTGTACCTTTTTTCAGTCAACAAGAATCATTAGTTTATTGCCACAATATTCCTGATCTCATTGAAAAGTTAGGAGCGCAATATGGCCCAGCCCAGTGCACAGTGGTTTGAGAGGTAAATTTACGCGGAAAAAGCCCAATTTTTAAAAAAATTTAAAAACGCATTTTGATGCCCCTTTATTGTTTTACCTAAGATTAAAAACTGCGAAGTAGAAGTTACTGCGCATGCGTTGCGTTATAACAAATACATGAAAGAATTGTCAAAAATACAGACCTCCCGCTAGGTCACATAGTAAAAAGATACGGTTGGTGAGGTTACTATTGGTTACTTTTGTTGAAAAAAGTTACTTAAGTTACTATTACTATCCAATATATTTTCTTATTTCAATATATCCCAGTATTAAGCATATTGACTCGTATGCAAAAATAATATACTTATAAAATTTTGTGATAAATAAGGAATTATTACCAGAAGTGTTGTCAGGTAAAACGATTTATAAAGTCTTTAATTACTTGCTCCAGGAGCTTGACTAAGGTTAAAAGGAGCAAAATCGGTTAATAGCCTTTGGAAGTTAGCTTATTTTAGAAGCCTTCAATTCTTTGTTACATCATAAATAAATGTTATATCACAAAAAAGTTTAACAGAAAGTCTGAAAATCACTTTTCAGAACAGTACCGTGACTAAATCACTAGGAGAACAGTGTTTTCTATTTTCTGATGAGAAAATACGATTTTCTACTAGCTTACTGGAAAACTTAATTTTCCACCCCCGAGCGAGGGAGGAAATGCCTCTTTTCCTTCCCAGGAGGAAAAAAATGTATTCTTTGAACAAATTATATTCATTTTTATATCGCTCTATCGGTTTTTAAGGAAGGAAATTAATTGCAACTATTCTTGCCTCTTCAGCAAGATCTTGCGGCAGGTCTTTTTCGCTAGAACTCATTTTCAAAACGTAGGAAGAATTTCAAATTTATGATAAACATTCTAACAGCTTATAACAACAGTTATGTTTGTATTACCAAAAATACCATAGCAACAAAGCGTTGTCAACATAACGTCGGCGACGCAACACCTACTTAATATTTTGTCATAATTTTATAGCCCCATACCGGGTTAGTAAAAGGAACCGGAACGCTTAAAATGTCTTAAAACCGTTTAAAGGTAGTAGAAAAAACTATATACATACCTCAGGAGGAAAATGCGTTTCCTCCCTTGAATATTTAATGCCCTTCGCTTCGCGTCGGGCATCAAACCATTCGCGGGAGGAAAAGCACTATTTTTCTCCCATGGTATGTAAATAGCTAAGGAAAAACAATTAATATTAAATTTTTTTAACCTTTAAAATTTTTCGATTCTAAATTTGTGGTTTGCAACCCCTAGGCCGCACGGACCTAGACCCAAATCCATACCCAACTGAATAATTAAAATTGTCAAAAATATGAAATAAATTTATTTAAATAAAGAATTTAGTAATCTGTAATTTTTATTTTGTTTATTCAAATAAATTTGTTCAAAATTGCAAAAACATATCAATTCACTATTTTACCAATGCATTAGTTATTTCTGGATACAAAACTTCTTCTATATTGGCAGCTAGAAAAAAATCCATGTGAGATAAATATTTTGCAGACCCATTTCTTGGTATTTCAACAATGAATCTTCTGTCTGGATGTAAATTTGAATACAAATCTTCAACGTCCTAAAATAATAAAATAAATAAATATATAATGGTAATTGTAATTTATACTCACAGTTTTAGAAGATAACAAATCATAATTGGCATATATTAAAGTAACATTTACAGGAATATCAAAAAGATTATATGTAGGTGGTAGAATTGACTGATATTTTTCCAAATTCTTTAATAGACCATAATCATATTGTCTAAATTTGCCTTGATTTTTTATAATTTGTCCGTAGTGCGTTATAACTTTAACTGAGGCTGGCGTATTGCCATGTGCAGAAAATATTGGCATAATTCTCTAAAAAATACTTTCTATTAATTACACGCGAGAAAATGAAGAAAGAAGGCACAGGTTACAGATCTGTTTTTGTGTAAACCTGGTTTTGACCGGCTCTAAGAGAAAATTTATTGAAATTGAAAATTAAGCTCTGTTTTTTTCGAACATATATATATTGACATGATAGCTTTACCCATGCTTTTTTGAAAACTCACATATAATAAATAAAAATTGTTGTGGTCAACAGGTTTAAGGGTTATTGCTTTTCGTTTAGGTATTCTTTTGAGTTTACCCTGATTTCAAAAGGTCAGTTACAAAAAAAACATATCTTAAACCCCGAAGCCTTTTTTCGTGTTGCCAGTATTATACATATAAATTACAGGAAATATATTAGGTTCACTTAAACCCGTAAAAAATTCAATAACTCCTGCACAAATGGATGTAAAAGGTGCTCCTTGACAAATTTTAAAAAGCCAGTCTATTTCCAATCTGTGGATACCCAAAGTATTTAAAGCAACCTAAAAAAACCGTTTAATAAACAGAAAATATTTAAAAAAACTGTACCTACCTTTATTTCAGACTCTAATAATGAAATTATATGAAGTAAGGGAGTTTTGGTGTGGTTAATTTTGGCAATAGGTGCTAAAGAAATGATAGCTTTTAAATTATTTGCACAGTGACTGCTATTTAACGTGCAATATATATAGCTTGCTGTAGTTCCCATTGAGTGTCCAATATAAATAATATTACCAGGTTGTTTGGATACCTCAGCAACTTTTTCAACAATTGTTGGTACATCTATTGAACCCATTTCATGAAAACTATAAAAATATGTTATTTTATTATAATGTTTATTATTATGTTATGGGTAGTTCTATATAATATTATTATCATTCAAAAGCTACATCATTAATCTTCATAATTTTTTACCTAATGCCTAACATTAAATTCCTATATTTTTCGTTCCAAGTCAAAGTTATGTTAGAGGGATTATAATAATAATAATTATTATTAATACCTTACAAATTTAATTACCAAGTGGATACTACCTAAATATGGGAATATTTGCCAATTTTTTTATCCTCCAACCCCTTAGAGAAACCCACTCCTCTAGAGGGTATATTCTCATGTATTATAATACATGAGAAAATATATATACAGTAATATACAATATATTTCTTGCTATTGTATGCACACAAAAATCTTTTAACATTTTCGACTCTAAATTTTACCCCCTCAGGGTAGGGAGTTGAACACAATATTATTTATCCTTTTTACGCACGTGTTAACAGATTTGTCGTAGGAATTCAATGCATACGAGGTGTGTTCAGAAATATCGGGAATTTTCGTTTTTTGAAACAAATATTTATTTATTCGTCTACATTAATGTTGTCGCCTTCAAAATAGTCCCCATTGGATATTACGTACATGTGCCAGCTCTTCTTCCAATACTCGAAACACTTCTAAAACTCGATCTTTGGGATAGCCTTTAGTTTCAGCGATGCGCTTTTAATGTCATCTATGCTTGCAAAACGACGGCCCTTTAAGGTTCTCTTTATTTTTCGGAATAGGAAAAAGTCAGACAGAGGCATGTCTGGCGAATATGGAGGCTGGGGCATCATTAAAGTATTGTTTTTGGCCAAAAATTTTGTTCAAAATTTAACAATTTTAGATCAAATTTTGCTGCCACGCGTTTCATACCCAAAACATTCGAAAAAATTTCATGAGATGAGCCAATCGATATACCAACATCATCAGCGACTTCTCTGATGGTTTATAACCATTTATTCCATGTTTTTATCGGTTGTTAATGTGCTTAAGCATTGTGTGTTCGGGGCGTTCGTCATCTTCAACGTCTTCACGGCCATCTTGGAAACTCTTATACCACTTGTAAACTCTTGTTTTACTTATAGCAGACTCACTATAGTCCTTTGTTAACATTTCACAGAATTTATTTCATTTTTTAAGCATAATTGGATACAAATTCTTTGATCCATTTCTTTTAACGAACGAAAAATCGCCGAGCTCATAAAACACGCCTTACCTTAGCGGATGCCACAGACAAAGTAAACAATGAAAACAAAGTTTTTATCATACTTCGGGGGCATGTATACCAACATAATAAAGAAAATTGTATCACAACCGGACCCTCCGAACCCGAGAAATTTAACAATTCCCGTTATTTTCTGAACACACCTCGTATAATAAATACGGGTCAAAATTGTTCAAGTGTACCTACCACCAAAAAATGTTTACTTTTCCAATATTTCTCAAACTCCACTAAATTATAGTACTAGTACTAGTACTATTAATTCTGTAAAAGATTTTGCTTCATTGCCTCTGATTAACAAACTACAAGGGTGCAAAGTTTTTAGTTTTCCTTTGACGAACTTAAAAATAATGTTCCATAGGTAGGTAAATATAAATATAATGTAAATTGTTGTAAAGTCCCTTTACACCCCTTTCCAAGGGTCATTTACATTGTAATTTAGGATAAGTTATCTTTTTAGAAATACACGTGTAGTGCAAATATTTTATATTTTAAGTTCGTTACTCTTTTCCAAGCATTAAACCTCGTTTCTGCTGAGTCTTTGTTTTTCTATATTAGGGTTTTATTATTAATTTTCTATTGGTTAGAACTATTGTTGCTGTTAAATTTTCATTGGTCTAAATTGTCAAACCATCTTCGAGTATGTCATGTGACATACCCTAAACAAAACCAAAGGCACGGACAGAAATCGAGAATTAGGTTCCGAACAATGAATTAGTATGTAACAACTCTAAGATTAAGATAATTAAGTAGATTGAAGCCAGAAAATAGTGTAAGTTGTAGTGATAATCGTTTAAGTACAAATAAACGAAAGTAGTACAAATCCTGAGTGTCATTGGACTCACCCTAAACTCCTAACCCTCAACAAAATATAATGTAAATAAAAAATGTTTAAAATTAAATATTTAAATAATTAATAATAGTACGTCTTGAGACATAAGATACAGACGCGTAAGCGACCAGTTCTAAAGAGTTATGCCTAATTTATAGGTTGCCTTCCTTCCTAGATTCCTGTATGTGAATTTTTAAAAAGCACTATGTATTGTTCATCTTATACAGGAGGAAGGAAGGAAGAAAGGCAATCTATAAATCAGGCTTAAGGAAGTAATAAAAGCCTATTAGTAACAATAAATCGGTCACAGTATGGTTAAGTTGGTAAGGTAACTTTAACTTTAATACAGTGCGCAATTAGGGCCCAGGGCCACTACCTGTGCAGGCAAATCAAGGTACCTGCCTCCCGATGTCATACAGAATCAGCAAAGCGCTAATACAGTAGTTCAGTGCAACACAACTAGTGAAAAATATAAGAAATCAGTTACCCTACCTGTACAGGTGAACTCAACGTACCAGCCGCAAGTTGCAACAAAAGATAAGTTCAATAGTTTTAATCCGCATAATTTAATTTGCATTCTCTACTAAGAAAGTAATCTTGCATTTTCTTGAAGAAGTTAAGCGTCTTCAACGCATCTAAACCAGAAAAACAAAACAGCCAAACAAGAAAAAGAAAATTCCCTCAGGACAGCAAAATTAATTATTCGTATAAATGGGTACAAAACCAAAACTAAACAAGCAGCCGTGATACGCAATATAAGTTAAGATAAACAAAAAATTAAGGGTGGTCACCTAGTCATCAACAATAAACATGCCAACACACCAATATTTTAATAAGTCTTTACTGAAATAAAGCTAAGGCAAATAATTTGTACCTACTAACTAACCTTTACAGATAATTCGTTATAAACAAAAAAACAGATTATTTTAAATTCGAAAAAAATTTAAATACAATTTTAACGAATATATTAGAATATAATACTATTTTTTTCAAAGAACCGACAAGAATGTGAAAAGAAGCTAAGCGATAGTAAGTGGCTTACCCCTAACTAAGAGGATCCTTCTATGTGTCCAGTTCGTTTATTTTAAAAAATAATTAATAAATAACTGACAGATTATTTTTGACGCCAAATCCTACATGAATAAAACCAACTGCAGCGGATGATATAAAAATGTTCCTCTAGGAGGAAATACACTTGGTGAATGGACTAAGGAAACAGACAAGAAAATTGAATTGGATATTAAAAACAAATAACATTACAATTTACAAATCACTCAAATAGCCAAATCTGGCGTTTCTACTAAACTCTTAATTAAAATAATTGGGCATGGTAATGCAAAATCTATAAATTCTTACAATTAATTTCCAATTTAAGAGATCCTACAATCACAAATCAAATTTCTTGAAACACTGCAAATAATCAAATTTCAGAATCCAAAAGTAAAAGAACTATCTATAACAATTGGGTTTTTTTATGTTAATACAATAAATACCCTATTGTAAATGACCGATAGAATCCAATAAAAAATAAGTAAGTAATTGGTTTGAAATGTGTTTTGGCGCTATGAATCACCAATTCATTCCAGTTGCATTGCTATTGGTAAGTTCCAATGAAGTCAACGGCTTAAATTGGAATATACCAATCCATGCCTATGCTTGTCTCTATTGGCTAAATCCAATAGAAATGCACCTGGAATGAATTGGTAATTCATAGCGCCAAATCAATTTTAACCAATTTATTTTTTTAAATTTGGATTAAAAATACCAGTTGATTTTTTATTGAAAAATAATTAAGATCCCAGAAGAATAGCCGGGTAAAAATCAGAACAAAAAGTACCTAATAAAAAATAAATAAAATTACTCGTTTATAATCATTTTTTTGTTTTTCTTGCAAAGGATGTTTGTAGACATGGTCGAAATCAATATTATTTATGTCAATTTTTTTTTATTTCTTCCGCTGTAACCACCATTCTCACGCCATCGTCCCTAAACCTTACACATATAAACATTTTTTTAAGGTATAAGTACACACCACTATAATTAACTACCACTAAGCACAGAAACCCATAGATTATAAAAGAAACCGATTAATAAAAAAACGACATTAAATAGCGTCCAAAGACTTTTGTTTCTTTATGATGGCGTCTCAACCATTCGAACAAGGTACGTTGGTTTTGCGCAGCTACACGAGAACCCTCTTGCGATATTTTAAAGTATTGGGAATAACCAATTAGCAGATTCCTTTCTAGAATCTTATACTGGGAATGCCTAAATGAATTCAATTGGAAATTATCTATTGGTAGCTTTAACCAATCGAAACCACTAAAAACAGTAAAATCCCTTAATTCTCGACTATTTTTTGTAGCAAAAAGATTTTCGACTAAAAAAATTATCCGGTTAAAAATTAACCTCTTGTGCATTGGGGGGTTAAAGTGGTGAATATCTGAGGTAAAAGGTTGACAATTATCAGGTTTTTTATTTTTAACTTAAACATTTTAAGCCTTTCTTTAGAAAAATCTAAATTAAAGGAATCTTTGCACCACTAGAAAAAACCTGGAGCGATTATTTTAAAACGCAAATCGAATTAAGATCTTATTTGGATTCTCCTGATTTAATAATTATTGAGTATTATTTTTGTCAACAAGTGTCAAAGGGATTTCAATACTTAAAAAAACTGTTGATACTTTAAAATGCGTGTTTCTAAGTTACCCACTTCTAAGTAAAATAAAAGCTTTCAGAAAATTTTGAAGGTTACATAAGAGTATTTTAATGTTTTAAAAATGTCTTCTTAAAAATTTTAAGTTAAAATGAATGGAATACTTTTATAAATATTTCTTACGAAAGGTTTGACAAGGAACAAAACGTTTTTGATTTGGGTTGGATAACTAAATTTAATGTGACGTAATGAGTCGAATTGGCAAGTTCTTCATGGAATTTTATTTTGTACTTACCTAAAGTTCCAAAATTCTTTATCGTCTTTAGTATATTTAATATGGTTTGAATACTCTGTTCCTCTTCTGTTTGCTATCCAAACATCGTAACCTTGTTTGGCATAATATATGGCTAAAAATTAAAAATTAATAATTTTTTCGTTAAATTTTTTTTATTATAGACCTGGTGAATCTTCTCCGAGTATTAACATACATCTAGCATCTCTTAACAGTCCAGGAAATAGCAATATGGGAGATTTTGGTTTGCTGACAGTTTCATTTAGTTTTGATGGTATTCTAAATATTTCAAGGATGTAGCCATCCCATGTAGTGACATTATACGATTTCGAATTAAAACCATGATTGTTTATAATTTCTGGCTATAAATATATAATATATTACAGAGTGTTCCTAAGTTTACGGATTAGTGAGATCAAAATGTATAGGAAAATATTTGTTAAAAATTAATTCCATTCCTTTGGGATGTTAAAATAAAAACTAGGAAAAAAACTTACTATCGAAGCATCTACATCTGGATCATACCAACAATTTAAATTCAAATCTATGGTATAATAATCCAAATCGCTAGGACATACATTGTTTTTTGTTGACACCATCGAAAAAGTGAATATTAAAAATAAAAGATTAATAAATTGCAACATGTTTTATATAGGTACAAAATAATGGTAAACACATTTGAATTGATTTTTCCTTATATACCTCAAAGTTTTTGATAAAAATAATTTTAAAATTTAAATAAAAATGATTATAGATAATACATAGGTACTTAGATATATTTATTTTTATTCTATGTAAATAACTGACTTAGAATTTGGTATTTAACATTAATGATTTTTAATTATACATATATACATATTTATGATTGTCAAACAAATATATATATATCCGAAATATACGTACCTACGTATATACAGGGTGTCCCAGAACTCGCGCCACAGAGAAAAAGGGGGCGTGCCGACAGAAATGGAGATGCCAAATTTAAAAATAAAAAATTTCTAGGTAATAGTGTAAGCGAATTAAAGCAAAAAAGTGGCAGCCAATACCGAGAGCTCTTGCCTAGATTAAACGTAGGGGATTTAAAAATTGCTAGGAGACGATAGAACATTGTTGTCTTAAAACTTTTAAAAATCTTTTGGCCGACTGTATTTACTAAGTTGTCAAAAGCTGTCAAAAATGACTGATACCTCAGAACGACAATGTTTTAAAGTAAAAAATCAAACAAGTTGTAATTTTTTAGGCTTTTTTAGTTAAAATTTTAGAAAAAGTCATAAGTTACAGAAACAAATAAACAAACTTTTAAAAAATTACAAGAACTATAAATTTCCGTAAAAGTAAACAAACAACATTAAGTAAAACTAAATTAAATATTATGAAAATGTGTTAAGAACTAAATAAAAAAAATATGCTAATCTGTTTACAATAAGTGCTCAAAGTGTGCACCATTCATCTGTAAACAAATCCGCGCTCTTTAAAAGGCTGGATTTTGACTCCATGACCATTTCAGGAGTAACCGTCGCAAAAGCGTCTTGGATGCGGTTCCTAAGCTGATCCTCTGTTTCGATGGGTACACTATAAATAAAAGTTTTTAAGGTGTCTCCAAAGAAAAAAATCCAAGGGATTTAAATCGGGTGAACGAGCAGGCCAATTTTGTGGCCCACCTCGTCCTATCCATCGGCCAGGATACTGCCCGTCCAAGATTAGCCGAACGTCGCGACTAAAATGTGGTGGTGCCCCATCGTGCTGCAACCATTCATTTACTCGATATACCAGTGGCACGTCGCCTAACAAATTCTCTAAATTGTTTTCTAAGAAGTCTGCATAAATTTGGCCTGTTAACCGTGCAGGAAATTCAAAAGGTCCAACCTAGAGGAAAATGGCCAAATTAGAATAAAAAAGAAAACCTAAATAGTTTACATACAACGCGATCTCCTATTATAGCACTCCAAAAATTAATAGAAAATCGATGTTGGAACCCCCCTTGGAATATAGCATGCGGATTTTCATTTGCCCATACATGTAAATTATGGGCATTGAAGCATCCTTGTCTGGCAAAAATTGACTCATCCGAAAACATAATGTTAGAAACAAAATTTGGCTGGAGATTTTCTTGCTCCAGCAACCACAGGCAGAATTCGACTCTAGCGGGATAATCTTCCGGCTGAAGGTGCTGCACTCGGGTAAAATGAAAAGGGTGTTGCCGATCGTTCTTCATAACCCGCTGAACTGTGGAGCGGGAAATATCCAGTTCTCGAGCAACTTTCCTTATGCTCTTCCTACTATTTTCCTCAAACGCATTCAAAACAGCGTCTTCATTTTCCACTGTTCTAATACGTTTGGGAGCACCTCCAATCCCCTTACGAAGCGGAACAACTTGACCGGTCTCTCGGGTTCTTGTGATAGTTCTAAGGATTACTTTACTGTCCAGGGGACGATCAGGAAAGCGCTGGGAAAAAACTCTCGCTGTCTCCCTGGCGTTGCGCCCACACTCCCCATAAATAATTATCATTTCGGTATAATCATCTAAGGAAAACATTATTTATAATAACTTAATTTATAACTGTGTTATAACCAAATATAATATTAATGACAGAAGTAAAGATTGACAGAAGTAAAGATTGACAGCAGTGTTACAATGATGGATTCCAGTGGATCAAATTTTTTACATATTTTTTATTATCAACAATGCAACCTAAGTATCCTAGCAATTTAAAGAATTCCCTGTGGTGATCTATTGGGATTGGCTATCGTTTTTTATTCTTATCTCCCTTATCCTTTGCGTTGGACAATTTGAATTTTTAAATATGTGTTTCAAATTACTTTCGGTACGTTCCCTTTTTCTCTGTGGCGCGAGTTCTGGGACACCCTGTATATTAAAATATTGAAAGATCGATTACATATTTAAATACAGGGTGTACCAAATATCACATATTATACCACGCATCTGGGAGTTTATTTTTTGAATTAAAACATATTATGTATGACAGATCTAAAAAAAATTCTATAACCTATTAAGGATTTGGATGTGTATTTCGATGTTAAATTTTCATTTAATTACCATATTCATGTCATAAAACATAGGGCTTTAAAAACGTTGGGATGTTTTAAGATTAACTAAAGATTTCTGTGATGTTAATTGTATTAAAGCTGTATATATGTCTTGTCAGAAGTACCATTTCTAAAGGCAGGGCCGTTCCTGGCAAGCGTGCAGTGCGTGCACGCACGCAGGCGCTACATATTGGGGTTGCAAAATCTAAGGGTCAATCAGAACTTTGTAACGTTAAACTTTTTTGCAATAAACAATTCCTAAACATACATAGGATAAAGGTTACCGCCTTTCTTTGCGTCGGCCTCATTAAAGCCTCATGCCGCTCTTTTTTTCGGCTGCAATAAAGCGCCTTTTGAAGTTTAAATATTGGCGGCTTAATTTTTTTTGATATGAGTATCAAAATAAAAGGAGAGAAATTGTCATAATATTTTAGTATTTGTTTGACAGTTGCAGTTGACGGTAGCAAAGTTTAAAAGTAGTCTACACAGTGCATGCATGCATGCCTTTGTAACGAGCTTTCGTCACTAAAAACCAGTTGTAGTTTTTTTTTGTTTTCTTTTGGGTATTTTTATTACTAAATATTTTTTGTGATTTTGTTTGTTTTGGTATATCAATAAATATTTTTATCTACTCCTATTGCATAATTTTGAGATTTTTTCGTGAATATTGATAAACATTATAAATTTGAACTCATTATTCACGTTGTTAGGAACTAGTGATTGACCGATTTCAATATTCACTGTGATTTGAACCAATCGGGTTTTAAATTGGAAGAAGGAGACTATAACAACATTTAAAATTGGTAAAAAGTGAGGTTAACCATTTGACAGATGTCACATTTAATTTATTTAATTTTGAAAATCATTTAATTATCTACTTATTGGAGTAGATAAAGTACAGTATTACACTTGAGATTATGCGCAATATTCACTCTGATGATTTATAGCCTGCATTATCTCACTTATAATAATAATACTACTTATAGTTAATTACAGTAGTTTTTTTATATTTTTAATTGCCAGTTTGTCGCAAAATATATATTTTTTAAATTTTAGGGCTTAAAATTAAAATATTTAATTTTTTGTGTTTAAACATAAAAGGGGCGCACCAAAGAATGCTGCACGTAGGCGTTAGATTCCCCAGGAACGGGCCTGCCTAAAGGTATATGCTAATATAGGTCGCCCAATTAATAATGTACATATAAATAAACTAGAAAATGTATAATGTATATGTATAATGTAATTGCATATACCATTATCAAAACTAGATATTACAGTTAACTCACCATTTAGAATTAAAAATATTTAATAAATTGCCCCAAGTTATTCGGGACGCAAAAAATTATGGAACGCCGTTTTATCATTTAATCAATCAGTTTAAAAGTTACCAAAAAATTCATCTAACTTGTAAATTCGCGTTATTTCATTGTTTGAAATTCATGCTAGATGCAAAAGTAATTTCAAAGTATGAAATTCGCTGCATTAAAATGTTTGAATTAAACTGATTGGTAAAGAAAATTATACAGTAATTTTAATGTTTGAAATTAACAGCGTCAATTTCAATCAATGGAATTTACTTACGTTATTTCATTGAATGGAATGCACAATTTCAATGATTAAAATTAACAGTGTTGTAACAGTTACAATATTTTCAGTATCTAGCTACAGTTACAGTTACTTACCAAAATTTGTAACTAGATACAGATACAGATACATATTTTATTGCAGTAACTAGTTACAGATACAGTTACCTTCAAAAAGTATCTAGATACTTTAAGATACATACAAATTATTTTTTGCTTTAAAAAATTTAAAATAGAAATAAAAGGGAATTTTAAAGTGACAACAAAAATATACATGTTTATTATTTTTTTATTTTTTTTATAATACCTATTTTATTTAAAATAACTTATTTTTTATAAAAAAAATTTTTTAATAAATAATAGTCGCAGTTTAATTAAAATGTATCTTTGTATCTTAACACACCTAGTTACTTAGAATTTGTAACTAGTTACAATTATAGTTACTAGATTGGGATAAGTAACTAGTTACACAAACAGATACATAAAAAGTATCTAGATACTGTATCTAGTTACTTGTAACTAGATACGTTACAACACTGAAAATTAACCATTTAAAATTTTAAAGAATAAAAATAAAATTTGTATTTGCGTATTTCATTTATTAAAAAGAAGCAAGTTGAATTCCATTCACTGAAATTCCGAATTGCATTCAATCAAATTTCATTCAATGGAATTGTACATTCCATTCAATGAAATTATGAATTCCATTCAATGAAATTAGGAATTTCATTCAATCAAATTGTGCTTTCCATTCAATGAAATTATGAATTTCATTCAATGAAATTACGAATTTCATTCAATGAAATTACGAATTTCATTCAATGAAATTGCGAATTTCATTCAATGAAATTACGAATTTCATTCAATGAAATTACGAATTTCATTCAATGAAATTACGAATTTCATTCAATGAAATTACGAATTTCATTCAATGAAATTACGAATTTCATTCAATGAAATTACGAATTTCATTCAATGAAATTACGAATTTCATTCAATGAAATTACGAATTTCATTCAATGAAATTACG